TTTGGAGGAGGAGCCAGCAGAGAGCCCTGAAAAGAGCTAGCCCTACGGCTTATAGCCAACATCCATGATCACTTCTTTTCTCCTATGATAAGTGAAGTCATAAGCCCAACCCCTAATGAATTGCTTTTCAAATGTTGTGAGTAGTTGTCTTCCTTTAGGTTCAGATACGGGTGAATGCAGGAGAATTCCTTTTGTTCGAGAAGAGGTTTCGTCGGATCTTTCACTTCGTACTTTCCCAAGCTATGAACCAGTACTTACTTGAAGGAGCAAGGGATCTAACCTGCCTACCACTGACTTGACTGGGTCATTCTTCCAGACAAGGTAAAGAAGTACATACAAGTAAAGCCTACCAAGCATGATCACGCACATACTCACTGAAAAGTCAGCCACGCTAGGATCAAAGAATTGCGCGAGATACATGCATGGGTTGGGCAGTGAATTGAAAGGGAGTGGGATCTAACACGCAAGCTCATCCAAGCATTTTCACTCATTTGACAGCTATAGGAGATCGAACAGTTCACATTTGATACAAGGTTTACGAGGGAAAAGAGAGTTCTAAGCTTTTCTACCTTCCTTTCTTTTAGTTCGAGCTGAGGAGATTGAGGCTGAAAAACCTAAGATTGAGCCATAAATGGGGAATCCATCAACAAGTGGGTCTAGCAGGCGCTAAAGCTCCAATAAATGGACATAGAGGACGAATTCCTTTTCTTCGAGAAGCTATTTCGTTGGATCTGGAATGAGGTCTGTAAGTTAGTGAAGCTTTCACTCAAGCTAAGAGGCCTGGCCTATCTTTGGTTTACCAGCTTAGGTTCGTCCAGCGGAGTCTCCCGCAAGATACCCAATAGAAAACTGCAAAAAAGGTCACTTTCGGAGTTGTTGGTCTGTAAGAAAGTTTGACCCTTGATCGAAGATTGCGGGAAAGAAAAGGCTTGCAGGCATGATCGCAGGAGCTTGTGCGCTACTAGCTAATATAGTTGTGCAATACTCCCTAGCACGGTTAGGTGGAAGCTGAAGCCCAGAATCTTTCATTTTCAAAGCCGTATGAAACGAGAGGCTTGCCTCGACTGTTGGTGGATCTTAAGTAGCAGGCTTCTCATTCATTAACACCGGAACCACCGAATATGAGTGTCCAAAAGAAAAGTGTAAAATAGGTTTCGTTTTGGCAAATCCTTGGAATAAATGGGGCAGGAGACGCCCCTTAATGGCCAAGTAGCTCTTCCTTACGGCAAACCACAAGTAGCAAATCTTTAGAATGCTTCAAAACGTCTTAAAGGATGATTTCAAATAGATTGATGAAAAAGCCCTTGCTTCCTGCGAAGTAAGTGGGATATGTGACCGGATGCTTTATAAAGACTTCCGCTCTTGTTTGCAAGAAATGCCTTCTGTGTCTCTACCGTTGGGAATATAGGAGTAAGCCCGCATTTACAGCTTGTATGAAAATAAAGCAGTTGCAGGTAGTACATACAACCGCGCAGGGAGAATCTGCTGCTAATAAGCAAGCCCATTTACCGTAACATGTCTCACACTTTCAGGATGATCAAGAACTGGGTTTTTGGTGGTCAAGATCAAGGGCCAAGAATGTATGAAAACTGCAAGTAGGGAGCCCCCGTTGTTAACCCGATCGGTCATAGAAAGGCCAGGCCTGGTTTTTCATATGTATATCGCTCCATCCACCGACAGTAAGCCTAATGTTGACTAGGCAGTTTGAGAAGGTGTTGATGGTAGGAGGCCGCCTTATTATAATCTAGTTACGTAGCGAAGTCCGTCCCAAGCCTTCACCTCCCTTTATAACGAACGCGCAAGCCTTTCCTTTGCATCTGGTTTTGAAGCTAGAGGGCTCATATGGTTGTTCGTTTTTAAATGACTTAGTAGTCGAAGTTGCCTTGCTCTTTCTGAGCCACACGCAACAGACCCAAGGACGGTTGAAGGGGGGGCGCTTAGCACATCAAGTAAATTACATACATATAGGTACAGCGGCTAAATGCTTCTTGGAATAAACATCCTTTAGAATCTCTGATCAAAGAGAAGACCTACAGCTAGCTCAGAATGTTGAATAGAGCAGACTTTCTTGATTGACGAAAGATCGAAGATCGAGACTGAGGGAATAGCCCCTAACGGACTCACTCTATTACTGGACCGGAGATATCATGTCAAATGGAATTCGAAATTCCAGCTTGATTTCCATCTCCATCAATTGCTTCCTCTATGTCTGTGTTCTTTAGCGACTGATTTATACAGTTACTGAAAATGAGGCTATGCCTTTCTTTCATCGCGCTAATGTGTGTTTTAGAATTCTCGTAAGTAGATGTGCGAGTTGGCATCCTACTTACCTATGCCGCCTTGCCCATGAGCCTGCTTGACGACGGGAATATAGGGACGGCATAATCTATCTATATAAGAAAATTCTTGAAATCCTCTCCCGTAGGTCTCAACGAGCCTCATCTTTTGAAAAATAGACATCGTCTCTATCTTTGAGAACAGACAGGTAGGGGTCTCGTGTGCCTTAAAGCCCGCTCGCTACAATGGGCATAGGCGTTGAAAAAGCTGAGTGCCGTAGAGGCTTAGCCTTTCCGGGCGTGGTATTCTTGATCGGATTTTCTTGCTTGTCAATCTCGCTCTGCCGTGGTCGCTAAGGAGCAGCACGAGCTAGGTCATGAAAAAAGGAGGAGCCACTTTCTAGCCCGGTCACAGGGCAGGGGGAAGCATCAATCAAGAGGGATACGGCACGGCGAGGAAAGGAAAAGGAAAGAGGGAGCAATTGAATGAGTCTGGTATTGGCATTTTCATACGTGACACTTGGTCAACAGCGGAGAACTAGGAAAGCACTGGGTCGTGGGTCAACTCTTTGGGCTCAGAGACAAGGCTTGTTGCTTAACCGGATACATAGAATATTCATATGTAAAATAGGGGCAACCACATCAAAAACTCCCTGGCAAGGGGTCGAGCTTTCATCAATGTTTGGGGAATTTTCATCCCATAATCCCGAATCTGACCAGCGGTCAATCGATTCGGTGAATGCTTCGAATACTTCTCTCGCTTTGCCGATAGCCGGCCATCGGTTTGGTTACTTTGTTGAGAAAGAAGCAAGCCTTTTGGCAGGGACCTCGTTCTTATTGTCCTTCACTTCCAGACTTATGGGAAGCAAATATAAAGAAAGAAGTCATTTGAAAGGCTAGCTAAAGTTTCAATCTCATCGCAAAAGCTGACCCATCCCTAGCTTAGCAGCAAAGCCCCTCTTTTATAGCTTCTGTAACTCTAATGTCAGCACAAGACTGAAAGCCCTTATTTTGTTTCATATTTTTCCCCGGATCAGCAGAATTCTCACTGCGCATTGACTTTTGGTAGATGGTTTCTCGATCGAATAGCTGAACAACAAGAAGCTAACTTCTAGTTCCATTTTCCCTCATTCTTCTGTTTGTGAATCACTTTCAACTGGACACCGCGGAAGGTTTGGATTTGAATCACTGCCAAACTCATTGTATTGCTGTAGTACCGGCGGAGTGGGATTAGGCCTTTTGGTCTGGTCTTCCTATTCTACCACATATCTTCCATTTGGACCTATTTCTGATATTCCACTGAAATCGAAACTTTCTTGTTCTTTTTATAGGTGAGGGGAAGCAAGTGCAAAACAGTGCCAACTTCCCTAGAATCTTAATTTCACTGAGCTAAATAGCCCCTAGAAGTGACCAAGAATGTTCAATTGATCTTCGATTTCTTCTTGTTTAGCTCGGACAGAAGTATTGGCTCGTGAGGCTCTAGCTCCTATCCCTTGGGAGTCTAAGGATTTCGCAGGAGAGCTCTCTGAAACAACTGAACTATGATTATGTTTGCTAGAAAGGACTTTCTACCCTTGAACCAGAGTAGCTTCTTGTTTTGTGACAAGAGCCTTACGCACTTGCTTGTGAGTCTGAGTAAGATTGGGATTGCTCGCCTAGCTGGCATTCTTCTATTGTTTAATCGTTCTTGTTATTGCTAATTCATGAACTTAGAGAAATAATCATCTTTGTGAAGACTCTAGCTTGCTTCTTCCTTATATTTGGCCTAGGACCTTTACCAACTGGCCAACGTGCACTTTTTTCCTTCTCTCTAAGAGTCGGTAGGGGAATATTGCTAGGTTTGGGGAATCGGTTGGGGATAGTCCTTCCCAAGCATCAAATCCATCGTTTATCACTTCTGTAGCTAAACTCATGTCAGGTCTACAATCGTGGTAAGGCCAAATGGCTGTGAACGGAGCCGAGCATCTTTTTCTTTTTGTCTGTCTCATTGAAAACCCATTCCCGCTGCTTGCCCATCAACATCCATTTCTATGGCCATTTTCCCTTAGTCCAAAGCCAAGTTCTCTCCCCTTTAAGATAGATTCCCTTTCCTTTCGCTTTTGAAGCTTCTTTCTCAGCTTGGTGCAAAGGGGAAGGGCTCTTGCCCCGTGTGTGGGAGTGTTCCCTATTTCATGTAATTCCGAACTCCTCAAGGCTGAGGCGAAGCGATTGACCGACTGAGGAAGAACCCTCTCTATTAATGACTATTCCCTCAAGGGGATAGAGTAGCAGGATGGAGGTTTGAAGATTCCTTGTATTTCGGTTGTTGCAATCAATGAGAAATTGATGAGCATGTGTGCCAAATTCCTGAGTTTGGTGTCAAGGGACCTAACCTAGTGGTAGTGGACTTAGTTCCTACTACACTTTCAGAGACTTGTTAAGATGTGTCTCATTTCATTGGCTTGGGTACGCTCCAATACTAATGGATGACGGCGATTGATTGGCCAGGTGAACTTCTTGAGAGAAGATTCATCTCTACCAAACAGTCACGTTAGAGGAAAAGGCTCATATTGGTCTATAACTTATCTTTTTGTTGGGCTTTGCTTTGGGAAGTGATGGTGTTCTGGGGGAAGGACACGCCTATCATCATAGGCTTGGTTCGTAACACCGCTGTTATAGACCTTCAGATTAGCAATGAACAGAATGATCAATCTTATTTGATATTCATTAATACACCAGCACACG